ATTTTTATATTAAATTAAGGCATATAATAAAATTTTTATATATATTGCAAAAATTTGTGAAAAGGCTTCATGAAGAAACTCCTCTCATCTTATAACATTATCTCATCTTTAAGCTCTAAGATGATATATAAGTATCAAAAACTATCAAGTAATATCCTAATTATCATCGAACCATTCAGACTGCTTTCAAGTATTCAAAACTGTCTTATGTGAATGAAAGATTTTTCACCATTTTTTAAATATGGTAAAATTTAGATTCACTTCAATAATTATGATCTTAAAAACGAATAGAGATTTTTAAGTATGGTTTTGTTTGCGAAAAAGTACATAACTTGCTTTTTAAATCATGAAAATTTCAGTAAGATATATTAAGAATTCAATTTTACACGATATTTTAAAACAGATTGCAAAAAATTGTAAAATTTATAAAATTATAAGAATTCAGGTTGCATTCGATAATTATTATCTTAAGAACGAATAGAGATTTTCAAGAAAGGTTTTATTCGCTAAAAAGTACATACCTTTTTCTATAAATCCCGAAGATTTCATCAAGATATCTTAAGAATTCGATTTTTTGCGATTATTTAAAAATGATTGCAAAAAGTGGTACACTTTATAAAAATTAAGGTGGCGTTCAATAGTTATCTTAAGAACGAATATATATTTTCAGGAAATGTTTTGTTTGCTGAAAAGTATATACTTTCCTCTATAAATCCCAAAGATTTCATCAAGATATCTTAAGAATTTGATTTTTTTTAAATTATTGCAAAAATTCTACACTTTATAAGAATCCAGGTTGAGTTCAATAATTATTATCTTAAGAACGAATAGATATTTTCACGAAATGTTTTGTTTGCTGAAAAGTATATACTTTCCTCTATAAATCCCAAAGATTTCATCAAGATATCTTAAGAATTCAATTTTTTTTAAATGATTATAAAAAGCTCTAAACTTTATAAGAATCCAGGTTGAGTTCAATAAGTATTATCTTAAGAACGAATAGAGATTTTCAAGAAAGGTTTTGTTCACTAAAAAGTACATACTTTCCTCTATAAATTCCGAAGGTTTCATCAAGATATCTTAAGAATTCGATTTTTTGTGATTTTTTAAAAAGTAGTTGTAAAAATTGTAATCTTTATGAAGTCATAATAATTCAACTTGAGTTTTATAATTATTGTCTAAAGAACGAACAGAGATTTTCAAGAAAGGTTTTATTCACTAAAAAGTGTATACTTTCCTCTATAAATCCCGAAGATTTCATCATAATATCTTAAGAAATCGATTTTTTGTGATTTTTTAAAAACTAGTTGTAAAAATTGTAATCTTTATAAAGCCATAATAATTCAACTTGAGTTTTATAATTATTGTCTAAAGAACGAACAGAGATTTTCAAGAAAGGTTTTATTCACTAAAAAGTGTATACTTTCCTCTATAAATCCCGAAGATTTCATCATAATATCTTAAGAAATCGATTTTTTGTGATTTTTTAAAAACTAGTTGTAAAAATTGTAATCTTTATAAAGCCATAATAATTCAACTTGAGTTTTATAATTATTGTCTAAAGAACGAACAGAGATTTTCAAGAAAGGTTTTATTCACTAAAAAGTGTATACTTTTCTCTATAAATTCCGAAGATTTCATCATAATATCTTAAGAAATCGATTTTTTGTGATTTTTTAAAAACTAGTTGTAAAAATTGTAATCTTTATAAAGCCATAATAATTCAACTTGAGTTTTATAATTATTGTCTGAAGAACGAATAGAGATTTTCAAGAAAGGTTTTGTTCACTAAAAACTGTATACTTTTCTCTATAAATCCCGAAGATTTCATCATAATATCTTAAGAATTCGATTTTTTGCGATTATTTAAAAATGATTGCAAAAAATGGTAAAATTTATCAAAATTCAGGTGGCGTTCAATAGTTATCTTAGGAACGAGTAGATATTTTCACTAAATGTTTTGTTTACTGAAAAGTATACACTTTCTTCTATAAATCCCAAAGGTTTCATCAAGATATCTCAAGAATTCGATTTTTTAAAAATGATTATAAAAATTCTAAACTTTATAAGAATCCAGGTTCATTTCAATAATTATTATCTTAAGAACGAATAGAGATATTCAAGAAAGGTTTTATTTACTAAAAAGTACATAGTTTCCTCTATAAATCCCGAAGATTGCATCAAGATATCTTAAGAATTCGATTTTTTGTGATTTTTTAAAAGCTAGTTGTAAAAATTGTAATCTTTATAAAGCCATAATAATTCAACTTGAGTTTTATAATTATTGTCTGAAGAACGAATAGAGATTTTCAAGAAAGGTTTTGTTCACTAAAAACTGTATACTTTTCTCTATAAATCCCGAAGATTTCATCATAATATCTTAAGAATTCGATTTTTTGCGATTATTTAAAAGTGATTGCAAAAAATGGTAAAATTTATCAAAATTCAGGTGGCGTTCAATAGTTATCTTAGGAACGTGTAGATATTTTAACGAAATGTTTTGTTTACTGAAAAGTATACACTTTCCTCTATAAATCCCAAAGGTTTCATCAAGATATCTCAAGAATTCGATTTTTTAAAAATGATTATAAAAATTCTAAACTTTATAAGAATCCAGGTTCATTTCAATAATTATTATCTTAAGAACGAATAGAGATATTCAAGAAAGGTTTTGTTTACTAAAAAGTACATAGTTTCCTCTATAAATCCCGAAGATTGCATCAAGATATCTTAAGAATTCGATTTTTTGTGATTTTTTAAAAGCTAGTTGTAAAAATTGTAATCTTTATAAAGTCATAATAATTCAACTTGAGTTTTGTAATTATTGTCTGAAGAACGAATAGAGATTTTCAAGAAAGGTTTTGTTCACTAAAAACTATATACTTTTCTCTATAAATCCCGAAGATTTCATGATAATATCTTAAGAATTAGATTTTTGGCGATTATTTAAAAATGATTGCAAAAAATGGTAAAATTTATCAAAATTCAGGTGGCGTTCAATAGTTATCTTAGGAACGAGTAGATATTTTTACGAAATGTTTTGTTTGCTGAAAAGTGTACACTTTCCTCTATAAATCCCAAAGGTTTCATCAAGATATCTCAAGAATTCGATTTTTTAAAAATGATTATAAAAAATTCTAAACTTTATAAGAATCCTGGTTCATTTCAATAATTATTATCTTAAGAACGAATAGAGATATTCAAGAAAGGTTTTGTTTACTAAAAAGTACATAGTTTCCTCTATAAATCCCGAAGATTTCATCAAGATATCTTAAGAATTCGATTTTTTGTGATTTTTTAAAAAGTAGTTGTAAAAATTGTAATCTTTATAAAGTCATAATAATTCAACTTGAGTTTTGTAATTATTGTCTGAAGAACGAATAGAGATTTTCAAGAAAGGTTTTATTCACTAAAAAGTGTATACTTTTCTCTATAAATCCCGAAGATTTCATCATAATATCTTAAGAATTCGATTTTTTGCGATTATTTAAAAATGATTGCAAAAAATGGTAAAATTTATCAAAATTCAGGTGGCGTTCAATAGTTATCTTAGGAAGGAATAGATATTTTCACGAAATGTTTTGTATGCTGAAAAGTATATACTTTCCTCTATAAATCCCAAAGGTTTCATCAAGATATCTCAAGAATTCGATTTTTTTTAAATAATTATAAAAATAATAAAGTAGTTGTAAAAATTGTAATCATTATAAAGTCATAATAATTCAACTTGAGTTTTATAAATATTGTCTGAAGAACGAATAGAGATTTTCAAGAAAGGTTTTATCCACTAAAAACTGTATACTTTTCTCTATAAATCCCGAAGGTTTCATCATAATATCTTAAGAATTCGATTTTTTGCGATTATTTAAAAATGATTGCAAAACATGATAAAATTTATCAAAATTCAGGTGGCGTTCAATAGTTATCTTAGGAACGTGTAGATATTTTAACGAAATGTTTTGTTTACTGAAAAGTATACACTTTCCTCTATAAATCACAAAGGTTTCATCAAGATATCTCAAGAATTCGATTTTTGAAAAGATTGTAAAAAATTCTAACTTGATAAGAATCCAGGTTGAATTCAATAATTATTATCTTAAGATCGAATGGAGATTTTCAAGAAAGGATTTGTTTGTTAAAAAGTGTATACTTTCCTCTATAAATCCCGAAGATTACATCAAGAGATCTTAAAAATTCGATTTTTTGAAAATGATTGTAACAATTGTAATCTTTATGAAGTCATAAAAATTCAGGTTGAGTTCTATAATTATTATCTTAAGGATGAATAAAGATTTTCAAGAATGGTTTTATTCACTAAAAAGTATACACTTTCCTCTATAAATCCAGAAGATTTCATCAAGATATCTTAAGAATTCGATTATTGGCGAGTTTTTAAAAATTATTCAAAAATTTTAACTTTATAAAATCAAAATTATTCAGGTTGAGTTCAATAATTAATATCTTAAGAACGAATAAGGATTTTCAAGAAGGGTAAACTTTTCGGTAAAAAGTACAACTTTCCATTATAAGACCTAAACATTTCATCAAGATATCTAAAGAATTCGATTTTCAGCGATTTTTTTCAAAATGATTATATAAAATGTAATCTGGATACAAACCACAATCGCTAGATGAACATAACTGTAATTGGTTGGCAATTAAGAATCCCAATCTGTCATAAACCATCTTATGTTATCTTCAAGCATCCACAAGTATACTGAATTTGAAGGCAGTTTTAAATGGTAGAGGGAAATCTTAACTGAATGAAAGCTGTTATAGCTGAATAAAAACAGTTTTGCTTACTTTAAGATATCATTAAAATGAGTTATAGCTGTTTAGATTTATTTTGAGCTGTGTTAAGTTTTTCTATTACCATCTTAAGCTTGTAATCCCATATCCATCCCATATTTGTCATCAATTAGTTTCAAATTGTCTCTTTATCATAACATATAACACTATTAATACATAACAAAAATGTGATTGTTTTTTTGTTGTTTCAGAAAACAAAACGATCCAGATGAATCCTTATTGGCATGAGTTGAGGATTATTTGAAGTGTAAGTATAAAAATTAAATCAATTATCTTCATATTTTTAAAACAAATTTGATAATTGATATAAACAAATTTTGAGACTTTATTATTTTAAACTTAATAAAATGAGAAATGTTTTGGTTGGGATTTTTCGTTCGAGAAACGGTCGGTTCTCGAAGAAGAAGTAAACCTTTTTAACCTGAGTGTACGCCTCGGCCTCGGAAGGTCGACACCGCGAAGAAGGGGGCTCGAAAGGGGTCCTCGGAGGGGTCCGGACGTGGGAGGAGGACGCTCGAACGTCGAGAGCCGCGGTTACACGGCGTGGCGGTTTCAATTGTCATCGGAAGGTTCTTTCAAAAAACAGGACCGTCTTTTATAAAATCAAAAAAAAATTTGTCAAAATATATCTTCAAAAAAATCGTTCAAAAATGGTCAAAAAAAATAGTGTCTCACCAAAATTCTTATAGGTTGACACCGAAACTAGCTGTTTTCTCTTCGAAGGCGATTAATTTTATCATCCTTGTATATTTCGTTCATGTGGTTGCTCCATTTTATTAGAAAATATAAACAAACATTTTTGTTTTATCGAATGCTAGCAAAAAGACGACGCGTTATTTCCGTACGTTTTTGGTTGATGATTGAATCGTTTATGTTATGATTTAATAGAAAGAGGAAATTAGTCATTTTAAAATTTCTTTTTAATTTTAGTGCGGAATACCGGAAATTCTTTTGGATGCGTCTCAATGAATAATGATTTTATCGGGAAAATAATTATTCATCCAATTTTAAAGGATTTTTTAAATTTTATAATAATACAATTTATATTAATCCAATTTTATTGAATACGACTCTGTGTTGTGGTCATTCGGGCTTTGGCCAGCTGCCTAGAGGCTGCTGCTTGTTGCCCCGTTGGGTCGTTCTTCTTCGCACAGGAGCGGTCAGCGGAAATGAAAAACGCATTTGTCCACTTTAGTTGCCACCGTGTACACTCCACCACACCTCTTCGTCATCACTCACCTTACACAACACTCTCGGATTCGGTTCCCATTCGATCCCACAAAAAAATCTACTTCTTTTTTTTACTCATTCTTTTCGATTTTTTGATATCTTTGAATTTTAAGGGGGCAATGATTTCAAAGTTGGGCGTATACTTAAAAAAAATGTTGTTGTTTTTTCCTTCTCGGTAGGCGATAAAAATAATGCGTCCACAACGATCGTAAATTAATCCCGTTTCCGGTCGGTCATTTGGTCGACCTCCCCTCGAGATGAGGAGGATTTTGTCGAGACGTAAAAAAACAGAAATAGAGGAGAAGGAGGAGGGCTATAAAAGTGGCAACGTCGCTGCTAAAACGGAGATCAAGTGGGCGCTGACATCGTGGACCTACGTTCTAAAACCTACTTCTTTTTCGGCTAATTTAAAGAAATCGTTAAAATTTGATTTCTTAATAAATCATCATGAAATATATGCCTATTATTAAGTAATGTGGGTAGTTTTCGATGAAACTTAATGAATGAAAATACGTTCCAAAAGTTTGGCATAAATGTGATCACACATCTTTCTACCTTATAAAGATAAATCATTATGAAATTTTTTTAGAAAATGTTCAAATCTACTTGAGGTCTTCTCAAAGAAGTGGTTGATCCTTGTTTTTGGGTATGCTGCTTCTAGTTGTACTGATTGTTGATACTACTGTGAAGCATTTGCTGAGTTCATTCAACATAGTCTGAGTGGGATTGTGCTCGAGGCTTTGAATGGGCTACTCTATGACACCCACAATATGGTTTCTAAACCAGTCCTGGATCGATAAGTAGGATATGTGTGGTCATTTTTTTACTAGAGGTCCAACGAACGTACACCAGGCATCATGGTATTGACGAGAATGTACTGGTCTTGATCTATAATTGTTTGAATGTGACGAAGTAACCTCAAACTAATTCATTGTGCGCACATTTATGCCAAACTCTTGGAACGTGTTTTAATTCATTAAGTGGAAGACGACAGTGATAATGGAGATAGTAACGGACTCGTTTGGGTCTTCTCCTATAACGTAATCAATTTATCACCCCACAAAATCCAGGACCATCATGCTTTAATTCGCCAAGCCCTGTTCTCTTTGTCGCACCGATTCTTTGCAGACATAACTGAATTTTCTGCAGGTTTGGTCATAAACTTTCAATCTTACCGACCTGGATGGTAAAGCATTTCTTCTTCCAATACTCATATTTAGCATAATCTCGCATAATATTCATCAGAATAAGTACTTATTCTGAGGGCTAGTTTTGGAAACTGCAGACTCAAATCGTTTAAATGGATAGTTGACGAATTATTGAAGATGATGATTGTCCTCAAACTTTAACTGCGATGATGCTACTTGAATGATCTTGATCGCGTAATAACTTTTCACAAGATCTCCAGAATATCAGAATGAATATCAGATGAAATATAAGATTATAATCTTAACAGAATGAGAAATCCNATCGTATTGGGATTGTTACAATGAGGTTGCTAAAGACAAACCTGATATAAATAAAGTTGTATTCAATGAAAAAAAGTCCTATATTAAATTGCAAAGTCATCAATGCCCGTAAAATTAGATTTTCAAAATTAATTGAATACTTCAAGTTCAGAGTCTTATGACTTATGAGACAAGGTTTGGGTTATTTCAGCTGATTTTTGAAAAATTTTAATTTAAACTACATGTCATTTTATTCTCTATTTATCTCTCTATGACAGTAATTAACTTTAATTCATTAAATTAGATTTATTTTTAGATATTACATGACAATTAAAAAAAATTAAAATTAGTTATAAAATCAATAAATTCATAAACAATAATCTATATTTGATATGTTTTAATGATTAGAGTAATGCCGATAAGATTATTATAAACGTGGTTTTGAAACAACTGAATTCCATGAAAATATGAAGTTTTTATCTCAATATTTTAGTATATATTAGTATTTTTTAAAATTCCCTCAAAGAAATAGAGAGAGTTTTTATCATTTCTGAGAATTGAAAGAAATCTACGTCATTATTTTTTTTTACTACGCAGCCTGAATGTTTATAAGAAAATACGGATAAATTTTGCGGTGCTAATTAGGGGACTATTTCGAAGAAAAATCGAGTAATTTTTTTTTGCTTTAATGTGACGTTCTATACAAGGAAATGTTTAACGTATCATATAGTGTTTGAATGTTTAGGGAAACTCAAAGATACATTTCGTAAATTAACTGTCAACTAAACATAGATGCGTCATAAAACATCATTTACATGGTATTCTGGTTGATCCTGAGATTGTGAGGAATTCCTTGTTGAAGTTATTCTATTTGATTTTTAGCACTTTTTGAGGTTCTCTACGGTATTTTGAAACTAATGAATGAGAACTCTCACCATTTTCTTGGGAAGAGCGTGAGAGTGAAAGCTCTTTGCAATAATGTGGTTCTTCAACCTTTCATCTATCATTAATCAAGTTCAAAAGCTATTAAATCTTTTTCTACTTCGAAGTATCAAACTCATCACAAAAAAAAACATTATTTGTATGGAATTCTTGGTCATCAGAAGGTCCTTGAGATTGCGACTGACTCTTTTTTGATGTTATTTTTGGCACCCTTTTGAGGTTTTTTTGAAACTATCGAATAAGAACACTTTCCTTGGCAAGAGGTTAAGAGTAAAAGTTTTTACCATAAATTGATACTTCAAGGTACTTACAAAATTGCACTTACCAGGTCTGGATTTCACGAACCAGTTATTTAAACTGGGTTCGTAGAAATATCAAAAATGGAGGAAAACGCGAATAGCCAAAATAAAAAGGTCTTTCAGCAGATATGATTTGTTTAAGATTTTATCCCTTTCCGTAATCAATCTCAACATGTACGAAATATGTTGTAGATGTCCTGTGGTTCGAATCTTTGCGTTTTCACTAAACTAGTTGAAACCCAATCCTTCTCCATGTATACTTCCTATGGGTCAGATCCATACCTGTTTAGTATTGAGTAACGTTTAAACCTTGCTGATGTATTAGCCCCAGTTTTCAACGAGATAAGAATTTGATTCTGTTCATAAAGAAAATCCAATCATGTTCGTTCATTTTTTAACATTCTCCGGACTTAGTTACGGCCATGCGATATTTTGGTACTGTTAAGCAAATTTCCTAGCCTTTTGTTCAGCCACCAAAGAAATCATTTAGTACTCTTTTCAGGTACTTAATACTCCTGCAAAGTTTTGTATCATTACTCAAAATTGTTGTCGAGATAAAAATCGCATAAAACACATCAGTATGTAAGTATGTAACGTAGTACATGATAAGTATGTAAGTTTCATCTTATTTACAAATACGTTTGGAGAAAGCAGTTTTTCTAAGAAAGTTTAAGTTCCAACAACTCATCTACCAAATTTAATTTAATAAGGTATGTTAGGATAAAGTGCACAGAACCGATAATGAAGAACACTTGGTATCTTGGTGAAGTTGATATCTGATAAGTTTACATAAAATTAGAAGAAAGCGTGAGAAATTTAACAATCTACATCTGTAATAGAACGATTTAAGAATTTAAAACAACTGTTGGTCCACTAGATGGACTCCACATCAGCGAGATATGAATCTTTTTAACTGTTTCGTTCTCGTTAAGTATTTTATGTATCTCAAGATATCATTGAGATATTTAAAGCTGTTTTAAACTATTAGACTCATTTTGATTAGCACATATCTGTCCGAGAATTTACTGAAAAACATTCCTGTTAAGGTTATTAACATGTTTTGCCTTTTTGAAATGATATCAAGTTATTTCAAAACAATGTGCTCTATTTTGACATACACCAACAAATTTATTCCTATTTTCTGGAATCTTTGAAACAGTGTCAAAAAGATCATAATTTATATAATCGTAAAGATGTTTTTGGTTGCTTAGAACCATTCTCATTCACACTAATCAGCTATTCCGGCGTTCTAAAATTCTTATGGAACCTTATGAAACCTTTTTTAATCGTTGAGTACTATTTTGGCATATACCAACAAGCTTTTTCGT